GGGGCCTGTAAGGAGCCAGCAAACCCACCTGGTGTGGCATGCTCAGCCTGCGAATGGAGAAGCCCTGAGTGCTCGAGAGCAAGGGGTCTGCTCCCAGCCCATCGCCTCCTGCACTGACCTCTCCTCTCCCTCTGCAGGATTCGAGGGTGACAAGTCGTCCATCATGTAAGTGCTGAGCTCCCCCTGGTCAGGGGCTCCCTGGGGTTTGTGGCCTTACAACTGAGCTCTGCTGGGGCACAACCTCAGCTGAGGTACTGTGGGTTGTGGCTGCAAATCCTAGCTGCCTGCCTCAGGAAGGTGTTCCCTGAGTTGTTAACTCAGGAGGGATGTGAGGAATATTCCAAGAGGGAGAATCCTTCCTGGCTTTCCCTCCTTTCTGGAAGGAATGTGGCTCCCCATGGCAGGGCTGGGGATAGAGCGCCCCCTGTCACAATAACGTGGCCTCTCCTGCTCTTTATCATTTCAGAAAATTTGAATTTAACCCAAAAGATGGGATCGACAACCCTGCCTTGTCACTGACAGAGGACATGGGTAAATACCCTTATCTCCCCAGGTCTTCCCTGTGTCAGCACAGCATTGCTGCGGTCCTGGGCTCTCCCATGCCAGGGCATTTTAGGGAGGTGAACATGTAAGGCAACAAGGATGGGGAGACCCCAGCCCAGGATGGGGTAGAGAACTCGTGTTAGGATCCCTACAGGGTGGCGCTCACAGGCTGTGCCCTCACACAGATGGCGAGGGTGTGGGGGAGCCCCGCTTCTATCTCCTGAGCAAAGGCAGTGCGGAAACCTTCGGCTTCTGCCTCCACGAGGAGCTGGGCTGCCAGGGCCACGTCATCCGGCAGGTTGAGCCGGGGGGGCTGGCGCAGCGCAGGGGGCTGCAGGATGGGGACCGGCTCCTCCAAGTCAATGGCCATTTCGTGGACCATATGGACCACTGCAGGGTAAGCTGGGAGCACCCCGGGGCTGTGAGAAAACCTGGATCCTCCAGAGGACCTCACTGCCCCCAGGGCCCTGATGCCTCAGGCTGGGTCCTTCCAGGTGGTGCAGAAGATCAAGGCCAGTGGGAATGAGGTCCTCCTGGCAGTGCTGGATGGCAACTCCTATGAAGCAGCCAAAGCCCTGGGCACCGACCTCTCCCAGATGCTGCCAGCTGACATCCGCCCACGCCTCTGCCACGTCACACGGGACAAAAGTGGTTTTGGCTTCAGTGTGTCGGGTCCAGAAGGTAAAGCAGAAAGGTGCGTGCTCCCAGCGCAGGTGGGGGACCGGGGCTGGCAATGTCACTGAATGCCCTGTGTTTCTCATCCAGCTTAAGCAGAGTGGCAGCAAGGTGACGCTGCTGGTGGCATC